TTGCAACGTTAATATCATGTGTATTTTCACGTGACTGACATATTGTGCGGGCAAGTTGTCAAGTTGATGAGTGCAGTGAAATCTGTTCAATGACGTGTTTGTTTTCAATCAACTTTTTAGAAAATTTTTATGTCTTTCTGCACCACGAAAGGTACAGAAAATAGCCCCAAAAATTTTAACACAAATGGTGTAAGGCCGACACGATACTTAAAAAATGGGGGAATCGCCGCGCTGGACAAGTGACTGTCGTCATGTTTACCGCATGCCACGCTACATGACCGGCCGGGGCTGCGATGTCAAACACAGCATGGCAACACGCATCACACGGTGAGAGGCTCAGACCACGAAGAGTGAAGGCTCTTTGTAGCACGCGGTTTTTGCTGAGGCGGATGTTGTACGTGACCTTAGAAACTAAGATAAACTGCTTTGAGTTGAACTTGCTATACTTAAAACGATGTCTGGACGCTCGGTAGTTTTATTTTTTACGACGGCCGGACCTCCCGTGGCGAGCGACCGTTTTAACTTTTACCGTTTTAGCTAACACGGTGTCTGAACATGGCCAAATGAATGTTTCACCTGCATTAATTAAAGGTTTATTTATTTCAAACATGAGGAAGTCTAGTCTTTAGTTTATGTTTAGGTAGACTTGCATTGAATAGTTTTTAAAGAAATTTTTTATGAGTAAGATATAATCAATATCCTTATTCATGCAAATTGTTTGATTGGGTTTACCACCCGCAGGAAGACCTCTGGTCATTTTTTTGATAACTTTAATTAAGATGTATTAAAAATGGAGCATTGCAGCCACATTTATTTGTTCGTATAGCCCGTCTATGCATATTTTTGAAAAATACAGTTTTGTAATGAAAAATGCAATTTTTGGAGATTCAGAATACAGTTTTTTGATCCCAAAGGTTGGTGGGTCTGTGCTTATCGAGCCGCATTCAGAGCCGTCTCAACCTCGTCTCAATGGGTATCGGGCAAGGCAATGTTTGGACAAAATGCAACTGCGAGTTGGTCCCCATGAGGAGGAGGTTGAAACCCATGAGGAGGAGGTTGAGGCGGCTCCGAATGCGGCTCGATAAGCTAGTCTGGTTCCCAGACCAAAAGATTTCTGACTATTCCTGATGAATCTTAGGTCCGATAGCCTCCAGTAATACATTGTATTACAATTTACGTCACATGACTAAAACGGGAGGAATTCCTCCTTTTACCGAAAATTTCTGAAGTTTCGCCGACAATCGGATAGCGCCCGAGTATAATATAGTTTAATTAACTGCTAACTGCTAATTAATTTTATTTTAAATGAGTTGATAATTCATATTCATTGCTTTCGTTTAGAGAAAACTGTGCATCAAATATACTGGGATCGTATGGGCGAATTTTTTGCTGTGTTATGTACAATTTTGAATTTGACGACCGTTACCGAGATTTTCCAAAACTCGGTCTTCTTCGGCTCCGCCTGCTTACAGTGCTTTTTGGGTGCCTAAGTTTGAAGATTCCAGATCAACATTAGTCAAATGTTATCTTACAGAAACATCAACTGTATTATATTACAAAGAAAGCGATTTATTTAAAAATTTGATCAGAACATTAAAAGCTACAAGCGATAAAGCGAAATCGGAAACGAAGCTCTTTGGACATGGTGTACATTTGTACGAGAACTGAATACTCTGAGATTGTTTATGTGACCTAGAAAATAGGCGCGTGTACACTGGCTGTAAATAAATGTAATTTAAAGGTTTTGAAATGATTAGCCTTGGTGCCCCCTTGAGTTGGCCTTGGTGCCCTGTGGAATGTTGATGGGGGCAAGGCCAAAGTGGCCTGCCCCTTTTTTGCCCAAGATCGAGGCCTGCGCTATGCGAATGTGCAGGTCAAATAGGAGAAAATTTGAAACTGTCTTGTGGGCATGAAGTCCCCATGATTAGTGTCACGTGTACAATCGGTAATCAAATTCCAGTAAGGCAACAAAACGGTTAAGGTTCTGCGTGATAGCGGATGTAGTACGGTTATCGTCAAACAGAGTTTAGTTAAGAAGGAACAAATGTTGGAGCCAAAACAAAAGTGTGTTCTTCTAGACAGTACACGGAATGTTTCAGTCGCGCGTATTGAAATAGATTCGCTGTATTTTGTAGGAACCGTGAATGCATTGTGTATGCCAAATCCCTTGTACGATCTTATAGGGAAACATAACAGGTGTTAGAGACCCGCGTGATCCTGATCCCAGTTGGTCAGGTAAACGAAATGACACACCGGAACAGAAATGCCAAAGCCCTCGCGACGAGAAAACAGCTGCAGTTGAGACAAGAGCACAAAAGCTAAAGAAAGTCACGAACTTGCGTCATCTTAAAGTTCCCGAAGTGCAAAATCTCTCCAAATCTTGTACGGAAATAATTAAAGCGCAACATGAAAATCCGTTGTTGGAAAAGCTATTGACCCTCGCGGAAACAGGTCAAAGCCGACGAAAGGGTAAGGATAACGAAACTAGGTATTACGTCTCGGACGGATTACTCTACCATGAATTCGCTTCACCGTCGACAGAAAACTATCGTGTAATCACACAGTTGGTACTCCCAAGGAAAATGCACTCGCAGGTATTGAAGCATGCACACAATTCCACCATGGCAAAGCATCTCGGTATCAAGAAAACAACAGACCGCGTACTTGCAAATTTCTTTTGGCCAGGTGTGCAAGGCGACGTCCAAAGATACTGCATTTCCTGTGACATATGCCAAATAACGGTCGCGAAAGGTCGTGTCGGCCAGGTTACTCTACATGTAGGTAGAATACCTTTATTGATACGCCGTTTAGACGAGTAGCCGTAGACTTGATAGGACCAATTCACGCCATCACGGAACGAGGCAATAGATACATTCTGACTTTGGTCGACTATGCGACGCGCTAGCCGGAAGCCGTAGCCCTATTGAAACAGAATGCGTAGTGGAAGCGTTGTTTGAAATCTTCACTCCAATGGGCGATCCAAATGAAATGCTATCAGATATGGGCGCACAATTCACATCGGATCTAATGAAAGAAATAGGCAGACTTATGTCAATGAAACAACTGCAAACTACACCCTACCATCCAATCTGTAATGGACTTGTTGAGAAATTCAACGGTACACTGAAATGAATGTTAAGGCGCATGTGCAGTGAGAGACTGCGTGATTGGGATCGGTATATCCCTGCGCTGTTGTTCACGTATCGAGAATCTCCGCAAGAGAACACGGGGTACTCTCCCTTTGAGCTCATGTACGGTCGTTCAGTACGAGGTCCTCTTACTATCCTCAGAGAGTTATGGACTGGAGAAAAATTAGATGAAGAGGTAAAGACAACTTACCAATATATCATAGACTTGTGTGAACGGCTAGAGTCTACTTGCGAACTAGCTTGAGAAGAACTCGCAAAGTCCAGTACTCTCTATAAGAAATACTACGACGCGCGTACTTGATGTATCGAAAGTTTGATACCGGCCACTGAGTATTAGTTGTCCTGCCAACTGATGCAAACAAATTACTCATGCAATGGAAAGGGCCATTTCCTGTATTACGGAAAGTTGCACAACACGACTACTGGATTGAGATGAACGTAAGCCACACACATTTCACGCAAATCTCCTCAAAAAGTACATAGTTCGATTCACTGTGTTACCTTTCAGAACAGTAAATGCACCGGCTACTTTCATACGCATGATGAGAAAATTGCTGGAAAACATACAGCATGTCGTGAATTTCATTGATGATATTCTGATATACACGGATACTTGGGAACAACACATCGAAACAATTCAAGATGTTTTGAACCCTTTGCGCAAGGCAAATTTGACTGCTAAACCAACGAAATGTATGGCCGGATATGATTCCCTTGATTTTCTAGGGCACATTGTAGGAAACGGTGTTGTAAAGCCACAGACGGAAAAGATCTCAAAAATCCTCGTCCACGAATGAAAAAGGAAGTTCGATCACTAATGGGCCTTGTGAATTACTATTGCAAATTCATTCCGAACTTTTCAGCCATTGCAGTGCCGATTACAGATCTGACTAAGAAAGGAAAACCAATCATGTGAAATGGGAAGAGGCACAGGAACATGCATTGAGCACGCTGAAAGCGCCACTTGTATCTGCGCCTATCTTGCATCTGCCAGATCACAGCAAATCTTACATTCTTGGTTCAGAAATACTTGAAAATGATTGTCTAGGAAAATGGATTACAAAACTGCATACTTATGTACAGGTTAAATGTTACTTGAATGAGATTTTTGTGTGCGTTTAAATGAGCAAGTTTGTTTTTAAATTTTGTCTGTGTGAAAATCTACATGAATTGGCACAAACATCTACACTGTACATTTGTATGTATAACCCTACATTTTCCACTGCAGATACTTAAGTGCGTTTGAAACAGATCTTGAGGTTTTTAGTTGATGAAGGGTTACGATGCTCTAGGCTTTGAAATATTTTTTAGAAATAAAAGTGCCAAGTTCCATATTCATGAGCAATACAGTGATGTCATGAGCTGGAACTTCAGTGTCACTGCTGTTTGAGGACGAAAAGTTACAAAGTGTTTTGGTTGGGGTTGATGTGACTGTTTGTTCATTGTGCACGAGGCACAGGCAGTCACTCAGCTACTTTAACAACAAACTGCTACGTGTACATGTACATTTTCAATCCAATGAATTTTAGTTTTACAAGTTACACAGAAAATACCTAAAGCGATATCGCAGCAACAGTAAAAACAACTATTAAAGTGTACAGGCATTGTAAAAAGTGCACTGGAAAAAAGATGACAACTTTCTACATGCAGTTTACCATTACTTTCATATAGACATGAGGCTAGGATATTTCCAGGTTTTAGTGAAATTCATCCAATTGCCTTTAAATTCTGTTATACAAAATTACAAAAAGACCCTGAGAAATCTTCACCATGGAAAACATAGTGAACTCTTAATAGAGCACAAACTGTATTATCATTATCGAGAGTTGAATGCATAGAGAGCAAACTCACCGCAAATCCAAAATGTTGAAGATCTCTGAGGTGAAGTGCTGTTGTGTCCGACAGTGATAATTATCCGTTATGACTGGCAGCACCAGCCACCGTACATTGTACGTCAGAGGTGCTGGTGGAATGGTTATCTTGTGGGTCAAGACCTGATGCACAAAAACAAACAAATTAAAAGACCAACTCCAATCAGAGAAAATAAGTTTACTTTGATTTTTTTTTAAGCATGAGATATTTGTAAGTTTAATTATGAGTTTTCAAGTGAGACACTGCATAACAAAATCAGTTCACACTGACAAACAGATCAATGAATTGCAAATTTTGAATAAGAAACATCCCAAAGTTGAATACTGTTAATATAGATGTACAACAATTGTACACAGTACCTGAAAAAAGATTAATGCTTTAAAATATGAACCTCATTGTAAAGTTAGAGATAAACCTATATATAAATATCTTAATTTGGACGGTTCCCAAAAATGACCAATTTCTACAAGCTGCTGTTTTTGTGTGCGTAATTCAAAACTGCCAAGCACAAATAATGCTATGTACTATCACCATTCTGGTATTTGAACTAGTATGCTTTTCTGATACTTGATACTTGATTGATGCCTCATAATATTTTGATATATTTATTTGCCTTTTTTAATGGGCTTTGTATTAATCAACAAAAGAATGAATCAAATTAGGTTTCGCCCTGCACTGACGTATAAACACTGTATACTCAGTGTGGTACCTCCCGAGTGAAATTTGGAAAAAAATCACTCACGACGCAAAATTCCATCTTAAGCCGTGTCCGCACTGGACTTTTTTGGGGGAAGGTTTTACCGAGACGATGGTAAAATGAGAAATGGTCAAATGTGACCACTGTCCGCACTTGGACTTTCGACACGGGAAATTTTACCCAGACCATGCAGACCGTGTGGGAGAAGTGACCGAGCTGTCACAGTCACGCGCACAGGAAATAAAATGCCGATCACATTTTTTTTCAGCCCCCGATACGCACAGTATAATATTACACACACCATTAAAATGCACAATATAATCGTAACATACGATGTTATTTCATCTTGACGATAAATCTTGACGAAAATGCCTACTATTATGACGCATTTGTGATGGACGACATCGAAGCCATGCGGCAGCAGTTCCATCGGTAATCGCTGGTTCCCACCGCATGCTAACAGAATCAAAGCTATGATGTACACTGTAGGACCGGAACCAGGGACTGCGGCCTACGTACGGTGCCATGCAGACTATACGGCGTAACAGGACGAAATTGGATCGTAGATAATACAAAACAAACATTGGTGGAGAAAAAGAATAACTGCAAAGTATTTCCCAGACATGCCAGAAAGTGATCTTGATATTTTCTGTGAATGTATTCTCCGTTAAAATATATTTATAACAAGATTTTACCGCTCGGACTTGACACACCGCAGCGTACGTGTTTCCACAAAATGTTCGGCCACATCACGTGTGGGATCGTGCTGTTTCTGTATGCATAATACTCGCACTCGGGCCGGATTTCACTTTCCTGAGCCACTTTTACCGACTCGCACTGGACTTATCCTCTCGGGAAAAGTGACCTGGTCAATTTTCCTGGGCGCGTGGTCAGTTTTCCTGGGCAGCAGTTGGCCAGTAAAAGTAACCGCTGGACTCAGGAAAAGTAACTGAGAGGAAAACGTCCTAGGCTGTCCGCACTGGACTTAAAATGGGAAAAGTACCCATAGTCTTGGTAAGTTTGACCAAAAAAAGTCCAGTGCGGACAGGGCTTTATAAAAGAATGAATGTTTTAAGATATGAATGGCTTTGTAAACTTTGCATTCATTCATCAGAAATTCACAAGTTTGACAGTTGAACGAAGGTTCAAGGACAGAGGAAACGACAGACGTGGCGGAGGTGTCTTTATCTTGGTTAAGGATGGTTTCTCAGCCATTGAACTTTCTGAAGATGGTTGTGAATTACTCGGGTGCCAACTACCGCTCAAGCCAAAAGGAGAGGACATCTTCATCTCTGCTATTATAGAGCCCCCGACTCCTACAGGCCAAAATCTCTAGAAAACCTAGACAGAAGTCTGAGTAAATTGCAGGCTCAGGTAAACTCCCCATTCATCATTCTTGGAGGAGACTTCAACATCCCAGGCATGCTTTGGAACTCAAGGACTGGTACATGTACTTTCTCGGCAAACGGTATTCAATCCAAAATTATCAACATCGCAGATGACTACAATCTCGAACAAAAGGCAAATTTTACTACAAGGAGAGACCCAGTTACAGGAACAGATAACATCTTCGATTTGCTCTTCACCACACGTCCAACTCTGGTTTGTAATGTTTACAGCAACTCCGGAATTAGTGATCACGCAACAGTGTTAGCTGACATAAACATCACCGCACCTCGCTCTGTCAAGCCCCCTAGGACCATCTTTAAGTGGAATGATGTGGATGAATCCAAGCTGAAAAAATCTGTCCTCAAGCTTAAGACCGAATTCATGCAGTCATCTCCAGAAACCAGAACAGTTGAGGCAAATTGGAGTATTTTTAGGGACAGGCTGAAAACTAACGAATTAGTACCACAAAAACCAGTCCAGGGACATTCTAGACCCTCATGGCTCACTACTGTCCTAATCCGCTGCTGCAGGAAGAAAGAGCGCAGCTATGTGAAGGCAGTAACAAGCGGTCTACATTCAAACTTTTGCAAAAGCAAGTGAACAGCGAAATCCGAAGGGCTAAACGCACACATTTACAAGAAACTACATCTACAGGTAACCCCCAGAAATGTTGGCGCTACATAAACAGCACTCGTAAAGACAACACAGGGGTTCAGATTCTGAAACCCAACGGGAAAAATATCACATCTGACCAAGAAAAAGCTGAAACCCTACAAGACCAATTCTGTAGTGTTTTCAGCAGGGATGACACCGATGTGCAGCCAGTTCTACCACCGAGTCCCAACCCAGACTTGACAAACATCACCGTGTCTGTTAGAGGAGTCCTCAAGTTACTGACGTCGCTCAACTTGAAACTAGCTGCCAATGAAGTTGCCCCAGTACTCGCATTCATATTCCAACAATCACTTGACCTGGGTTCTCTTCCATCTGACTGGAAGAAAGCCAACGTAACACCCATTTTTAAGAAAGGCTCTCGTGCGGACCCGGCAAACTACAGACCTGTGTCGTTGACCTCTGTTTGCTTTAAGTTATTAGAGCACATCATTGATAGCCAATAAATGAAACACCTCCAGGAACACGACATCCTGAACGAAAACCAACATGCTTTTCGTAAAGGCCTGTCCTGCAAATCCAAACTCGTAACAAATCACCACAGATATGGCAGTACTTGACTTCTCCAAAGCATTCGACATAGTTTCTCATCAAAAACTGGTCCAAACATTAGACTACTACGGGATAAGGGGAAAAACACAGAGATGGATCAGGGAATTCTTAACCAACAGGTCACAAAGAGTTGTGGTAAATGGAAAATCTTTGAAATGGCAAAGTGTCGACAGTGGCATACCACAAGGCACCGTGCTTGGCCCCCACCTGTTTTTACTTTTCATCAACGACATCAGCAAATCGGTGACTGGCACAACTTGCCTTTTCGCTGACGACTGCCTGTTATATCGGAAGATCTGCTCATCAACTGATGAACTGATGTTCCAAAAAGACCTGGACAACTTGGCTCACTGGGAGCAAACCTGGGGAATGAAATTTATCTCCAGCAAATGTAACATTATGCGAATCTCCGGGAAGCGGGCCCCCGGCAAAACTAACTACACACTGTACACCATGTTAGGATCCAACCTCGTAGAGAAAACCAACATGACATATTTGGGAATAATCATTCAGAATAACCCAAGTTGGAATCACCAAACAGCACATGCCACTTCCAAAGCAAGTCGTATATTGAACTTCATCAAAATAAATTTTCATTCTGCATCCAGATCAGTCAAAGAAAAGCTGTACTTAGCACTAGTCAGACCACACCTAGAATATGGCAGCATTGCTTGGAACCCTCACATAGCTAAGAACATAACAGCCCTGGAAAAAGTGCAACTGAGGGCTGCTCGTTTCGTAATGCGAGATTATTCCAGACTGAGCAGTGTGACCGACATGTTGACAACCCTAGGCTGGTCTTCACTGGAAGAGAGAAGGAAAGTTAACCAACTTACCTACTAAAATAATACACAACATAGTTCACATTAACCCATCATCCATAGTCCCCAAACCAGCACCACCTCGTAGACTTCACAACCACCAGTTCACAGAAATTGCTGCAAGGACAGACATTTATATGCAGTCATTCCTACCCAGAACTATCCGGAAATGGAACAAGCTCCCTCAAGACACCACAGACGCCCCAAACCACAACACCTTTAACCCTAACCCCCTAGGCCCTTGTTGCTTACAACCATCCTCAATCCTCCAAAATCCTCCAAAATTTTGCAACTCCGCCTAAATTTTTCAAAATTGTCAGACAGTCCTGCCTCAAAATGCATTCATCCTCAATCCTCCAAAATCCTCCTCATCCCAAAACTTTGCACTCGTGTTTAAATGAAGGATAAACCAACGCCAAATCCTTCAAAATCATCAGACAGTCCTGCCTCAAAATGCATTCATCCACAATCCTCCAAAATCCTCTTGTTCTTCAATCACCATTCATCCTCAATCCTCCAAAATCCTCATGTGCTTCAATTACCATTCATCCTCAATCCTCCAGAATCCTCATTTGATTCAATCACCATTCATCCTCAATCCTCCAAAATCCTCTTGTTCTTCAATCACCATTCATCCTCAATCCTCCAAAATCCTCATGTGCTTCATATACCATTCATCCTCAATCCTCCAAAATCCTCATGTGCTTCAATCACCATTCATCCTCAATCCTCCAAAATCCTCTTGTTCTTCAATCACCATTCATCCTCAATCCTCCAAAATCCTCTTGTGCTTCATATACCATTCATCCTCAATCCTCCAAAATCCTCATGTGCTTCAATCACCATTCATCCTCAATCCTCCAGAATCCTCATTTGATTCAATCACCATTCATCCTCAATCCTCTAGAATCCTCCAAAACCGCCAGGAGGATTTTGGAGGAGTGAGGTGGGTTAGGGTTAAGGATTTAATTTAGCTCCACTTCCCCAAGGCCTCCTTGCTAGACTTCCACGTGGAGTATTCAGGATAACCGCCAAGTACCAAGTACCAAGTAAAGGTGCAATTTTTTTTTATGAAATTGAACCCTCATTCCCCCCAATTTAAAAAACTTACCTGGAAAGCAACTAAACTATTTTGCAGCAAAATTAATTTCACTGGGTTAAAGTGTTAAGTTTCCAATAAGCAAGAATGGACAAAATCACATGAATGGGATTACACTTAGCTGACCTGGCAAAGGAGCAAACGTCTTCACCAAGTAAAAGAATAACAAGTCACCTTTGGATTTGTCCTCCTCATCTTCATTGGGAATAGCATCCATAGTGATGGCCACATCTGTTGGCATCTTGACAACATCACCCTCTGTAACTGTGGTTGACGTTACCTCCCCAGTTGGGACATCATCAGAAGTTGGTCCCTGCTTCTCATCCATTTTGGTGTTATTACGTTGGACCAAAAACACACTGGAAATATAAAGCAACTGCACATTAAGCAGTTGTATACTATTGAAAGCCATGACCAGTGGGATATCTAGGGGGAGGGGTCAAAATTTGAAATCACAACGTGCACCTGAAAATAGTATGGTAACCATACCGTGTACATGTCTCTATCCAGTGCGATGTATATGTGGATACCATACCAGTTTCAGATGCGAGCTGTAAATGTCGCCACAACACGGCTGCGACGCGACGGTTCTATCTGAAAAGCCACCAAAATCATCATTGTTTCCCCATATTTTAGCCAGTGTAGTTCTGTTTCAAGTCGATCCTTTGCTTTGTGATGACTGCTGCATGGTATTTAGGTGAGTTTAATCTCAACTAGGTTTGGATAATCAGGGAAAAGGACAATTTCAGTTGAGGCAATTTTTCATGGCCTCCGTCATTTTCTGACTGCTGGGGAAAAAATAGTTGGGGAAGAATTCCATACATATTGCATCGACATTACTAATATTTCCCCACAGTGACCTATCAGCCATCAGAAAGGGATAACAAGTTTAAAAGTCAAATTTTGCAGGAAAAATATTGAAGTTTTTACTGAGAATACACTTCAAATTTATCAGACTAGTCTCATAGGGTTTGTGCACCGGGTGTCAAGTGATGTCCAGGTATGGAACTCTTTCCAATAGTTGTTCCCCCAGCTCTAGCTTGAGAAACGCTAGTCCAAAAATTTGGAACTCTCTATACTGTCTATGACAGTCCCAAAAATTAAGGTTTTGAAAACTTGCCATACAAGATGGAGATGAGAAACTCCAATGCTCATCACGAATTAGACATGTAGAGCTGGAGGCACATCTAGTTTTTGTCCAGCAGTTGGAAAATGGCGGAGGCTGTGAAATTTGGCCTATACTAAACTTTTTCCCCTATTATCCAAACCCAGATGAGATTAAACTTACTTCACGCCATGCAGCAATCATTTACGAAACAAATGGTGGACTTGAAACAGAACAATGCTTAGTACTAGCTTGAGTAACTCCAGCTCCAATGCTCATCAGGAATTCGACATGGAGCTGCATGGAGCTAAAAGTATGTTGTAGATTCTAAGATGCCCTGAAAAACAGGGCTCTCTGTATCTGTATCACAATCTGGGTTGGGATTAATAGAGGGGAAAAGGACCATATTGTGATACAGACCTATACAGAGAGTCCCGTTTTTAGGGCCTCTTAGAATCTAGTATCAATTTCAAACACATAAATTTCCTCTTCATGACAGAAATGAAAAATAATATTTATAGTATTAAAATATAAAGGTCTCTTGAGGTGGCAAAACCTTGAAAGCATAAGATTTCCATGTTCCCGTATATTCCTGTGCCTGTGCACAACACAGTTTTAGCGCTATATGTTGAATTCCTGATGAGCATTGGAGCTGGAGTTACTCAAACTAGCTTTATTAAACTAAAATATGAAAAAAAAACATGATTTCAATGGCTTTTCCGAGGCCATTTTTTACAGCCTCTGCCATATTTTGGTTGCTGGACAAAAGCCAGATGTGTGCCTCCAGCTGTAGTCCGATTAACTTGAACCCAACTTATCGCCCTTTTAACATTCAGACATGGTCTGGTGACCTACTTGCCAGACCATGTCTGAATGTTGAAAAAGCGATAAGTTACTTGGACTACCACCAGCTCATATAATGTTGAATTCCCGATGAGCATTGGAGCTGGGGTTGGAAAGATTCCCGTATCTGGCCATCACTTTTCACCCTGAGCACAAACCGTATGAGACTGGTCTGAAAATTTCTGTGTTTTCTCAATTTCAAAAACAGGCCTACTTCAACATTTCCCTGCTAAATCTGACTTTTTAGGACACAGGCCTATTATCACTTTCTGATGGCTGATAGGTAACTGAAGGGAAAAATAGGGCAATGGTGTAGTGTAGGGCCCCTGTTTTGTTTTTATCAAATTAGAATCAAGAATGTTTTTTATTTCTAAAAAATGATATTGTCAACTTTTAAAACAGACTTCTCTCAATGTTTTGACACATTTTTGGCAATTTTTGAAAAGTTACTTGGGGTAGAAATTACGATTGTCCTACGCGGTTTACAGGCCAGTTGGTGTCGTGCAGCGCGACTTGTGTGCTCATGGTACACATGGTCCATCGCGCGGTGATCGCCATCTTTATATTCGTGTTGCGTTTTGTCGTTGTCGTCGTCATTTTACTCCCAAATTTTCTTCATATATTAAAAACACTGCCCTTTATCTATGACACACCTATATGGGGAATCCTTACATTTAGGAACCTTTCCTATATTTGAAAGACTCATCAAAACAGCCGACTAAATGACACTAAAAAGTGACATTCTGATATTTCTTGACACATCTGAACAGGTGGTAATGACACCTTCTTTATTATCAAAACTTTAATTTTGTGGAAAGAGGGCAGGGCTTTGATTTACGAGGGAAATTAAGGGGTAGAACTAAAAGACGACGACAACCAGAAAACAGACTCAAAAACCAAGATGGCAAATGTGAAAGCTAGATGCAATGTAAAAGCTCACTGCTGATTGGCTGATAAAAAAAAATATTTTACTTATTTTTTTAGCAGCCAATCAGCATTGGGCTTTCATTGTGTTGGGCTATCACTCGTGTTGTGAGAAATACAATGGGCACATCTCACGTTTTACTCCTAGAACTATGAGGCTCCATGAGGCTCCACGTAGATGAAGAACCCCGCAAAATTGTTTGCAGCACAAAACACTAATTAAGTACAAAAACGTCCATCAAAATGCAGACATTTCCCACAGAACCACTGCACAGTTTGCCCCTAAACTCCGTACTACACCTCATGACATACTCACGTAATATGCACAGAACAAACATCGCTGGATTTTGTCGGTTTTTTGGCTAAAATGATGAAAAATATGCCCTCTCCGCATTGAGCCAACCTGACACTTGAAACGTGCACGCATATGAATGATCCAGCAATGATTTTTTGGTTCGCTCAGAGTGCGCCGCGGGGGGTACAGTACTTGCATTTGTACGCATGCGCATACTATCATTTCTTTTGCAACTGAAAATCATCGCTGGATCATATGCGTGCACGTTTCAAGTGTCAGGTTGGCTTAGTGCGGAAAGGGCATATTTTTCATCATTTTAGCCAAAAAAACGACAAAATCCAGCGATGTTTGTTCTGCGCATATTACGTGAGTATGTCATGAGGTATAGTGCGGAGTTAAGGGGCAAACTGTGCAGCGGTTCTGTGGGAAATGTCTGCATTTTGATGGACGTTTTTGTACTTAATTAGTGCCTAGGAGTACTCACGTCTGACTGCAAAAAACGGTAGGAAAGTCACATTTTCTTTGAAAGCGTTTCAAAATTTCAAACATGAGTTTATTGGAGGGAAAAATGCTGCTTTAGCCTGCAAAAGTCACTTTGGTAATGGACAGTCATCTGCAAAAGTCAGTTTTGAACAGAACTCGTAAAAAAAAGAAGTGTCCTAAAAATAAGGATTACCCTAGCTCTACTGAGTGGAGCGTTGAATTACAGGTACCCACGCGAGGACAAAAAGACCCCCCAAAAAACGGTAAAGAGAATACAAATGAGAGAGACAGTTATCCTGCATTGATCTATACATTCTTGACATTCCATGAGACCCCTTATATTGTTCCCAAACAGCGAAAAATTTGAAAAAAAAACCAGCAAAATAGTCTGAAAACTTACAGCTCAATGTGTTTGCAGGGAGGCTCAGTTCTTGAATCCACTTGTCGAATGAGGGCGTCTGACGTGACGTCACCGTCGTTGCTCGATCGCGAAGAAAAACAAGTCGCGCTTTATCCACGACTGTTTCGTGTAATAATACGTGCTCCGATCCGCGCCGCGCCGTACGACAGTATGGGCTTTGAACACACCCAAGGAGCACGTATCATTACACAAAACAGTTGTGGATAAAGCGCGACTTGTTTTTCTTCAATCGAGCAACGACGGTGACGTCACGTCAGACGCCCTCATTCGACAAGTCGATTCAAGAACTGAGCCTCCCTGCAAACACATTGAGCTGTAAGTTTTCAGACTATTTTGCTGTTTTTTTTCAAAATGTTCGCTGTTTGGGAACAATATAAGGGGTCTCATGGAATGTCAAGAATGTATAGATCAATCCAGGATAACTGTCTCTCTCATTTGTATTCTCTTTACCGGTTTTTTTGGGTCTTTTTGTCCTCGCGTGGGTTGGTGACTATGCTACTGTGATGGTGTCACCAAAGTATGGCGAATCGGTGGAGCGTTGGTATGGAGGGGTACCCGTAATTCAACGCTCCACTCAGTAGAGCTAGGATTACCCCTATATTACTTCTGAAATCAGAAGGCTTCTCTGACGGAGAGAAGCCTTCTGATTTCAGAAGTACCCCTATATATGTTCTCAATGTCGCCAACTAGTTGGGGTGGTCAGAAAAAATTCCATACTGGGCCACCACTCAGAGTTCCTGCACAAAGTCTATTAGCCCCACTAGTGTGGCCGTCGGTATGCTGCGCTGAACCTAAGGCCACACACCGTGGTCCGTGCACTACTGAGGACGTTTTCATAAAATTTGCAGGGAATTTCTTACATATGGTTGTATTCTACGATGTCCCATCTATCACTTCTGGGATGCTTAGGTGTAATGATGTTCAATTTTCCGAGATATTCTTGAATCTTTCCGGAGCCCATATGCACTCGTGAAACGTCCGGTGATGGCAGCCATTTTGAATGTGACAAGAGATGACCTCAAGCTGTGACGTCGCGTTTATGCAAATTGCTTGTCGAGCGAGGGCGCAAGTTGCAAATGCGACGGCTGTTTCCTGTACCATTCATTTATCGTCTGGGGGCCACGTGCACTGATCTCTATTCAGGATCTACGGCAATTGAACATCATTACACCTAGCTGGAGTTACCCAGCCCTGAGTTTTATCATTGGGTTGTCTATTAGGGCTGGAGCTAGTTTTTCTCGTAAACGATAGTATAGGCAAAAAATTTTGGAAAATGTTCAATTTTGTCCCTGTTACACACTAATTGCAACTGCAACTCACCCCAAACTTGCCTGGAATAACCATTAAACAGGTCCTTAAAGTAAAAAACGATCCACGATGAAGATTCAGCCTACAATTGCAGTGAAAACAGGAGGAATAACCGCTAACCTGACAACCTTACGGGCATGGCCAGGACCGTAATTGGTTTGTGCACAAAAAAAAATTGTGTACAATGAATGGCGGTCGGTTACCGGTACCAGGCTGTCAACTAGTCGTTTTTGCCGGCTGGCGGTTGGCTGTTGGCGCATGACGTCGCGCGGAAGCGTAACACCCATTGACTGTTTCATGCACTATCGGTTGCGGTTCCAGTACCGCAGCTGTGATGCGAGTGGTAAACTTCATATGAGTGCATGAAACAGTCATCGGGTGTTACGCTTCCGCGCGACGTCATGCGCCAACAGCCAACCGCCAGCCGGCAAAAACGAATAGTTGACAGCCTGGTACCGGTAACCGACCGCCATTCATTGTACACAATTTTTTTTTGTGCACAAACCAATTACGGTCCTGGCCATGCCCGTAAGCTTGTCAGGTTAGCGGTTATTCCTCCTGTTTTCACTGCAATTGTAGGCTGAATCTTCATCGTGGATCGTTTTTTACTTCAAGGACCTGTTTAATGGTTATTCCAGGCAAGTTTGGGGTGAGTTGCAGTTGCAATTAGTGTGTAACGGGGACAAAATTGAACATTTTTTTCCAAATTTTTTTGCCTATACTTTCGTTTACGAGAAAAACTAGCTCCAGCCCTTATAGACAACCCAATGATAAAACTCAGGGCTGGGTAACTCCAGCTACATTACACCTAAGCATCCCAGAAGTGATAGATGGGACATAGTAGAATATAGCCCCATAATGTGGCCAGTTTACTGGACTGCCTCCGTAAACATAGGCCACACATCCACATGTACAAAAATCGTGTCGACGGAGCCAAATTTTGATTTTCACATTTAGGATTAGTTTGTAGGTTTTTTTTGCTTTAGAAGCATACTCACCCTCTTTATAGGCTAATCAGAAAGTGCTGCCTTTTTCAGATGTATATTTTTCATGAAATTTCCAGATTCATTTTTACACGTTTGCGTATCAAAATTTCAACATGAAATTTCACAAAAATTAGACATCTGAAAAAGGCAGCACTTTCTGATTAGCCTATAAAGAGGGTGAGTATGCTTCTAAAGCAAAAAAATCCTACAAACTAAGCCTAAATGTGAAAATCAAAATTTGGCTCCGTCGACACGATTTGTGTACATGTGGATGTGTGGCCTATGTTTACGGAGGCAGTCCAGTAAATAGGCCACATTTATGGGGCTAAGTAGAATACAACCATATGTAAGAAATTCCCTGCAAATTTTATGAAAACGTCCTCAGTAGTGCGCGGACCACGGTGTGTGGCTTTAGGTTCAGCGCAGCATACCGACGGCCACACTAGTGGGGCTAAAAGTCTATGGGCCATGACAGAACACGTATTATCAAAGAATGTTTGCTCTCCTTAAAACAGTGTTTCTTCATCAGATTTACAACTTTTGGCAATGTTTGGTACTTTTCAGGTCATATTAAGGAATATGAGTGGTACCCCAGTATGGACTTTTTTCCAGCATCTCAAACTCTTCACGAACACACATGACGAATTAGATACAATGATACAACGCTATTAATCAATAACGTTGTAAACGCAGTGCCAGTGCGTCTACGGACTACGGGAGTGCGGCCATGACGGCTACTTCTGCGCGACGTTTCACTAAATAAAATAATGCAGATTTCACCAATAGCTATTAAAACAACCAAATTAATGTTACCTTTAATTAAAACAAACTTGTAGTACTGATACTGACTTAATAAGAAAGTTTTCAGCCACTCGGAAGAATACGGGTAGCGCCAGATTTTCAAGCACGTGTCAAGAGTCGCGTGTTTATGTTGTTGAATGCTGCCCTCATGTGTCCCTCACATGCAAGCTGTTTCGAAACCTCGGCCTTCGTCGCAGGTTCGCAGCTTCATCATTGAACTGGCATCCTTCTTTTTTTTAACGAGATGCCTGCGTCTGCCGTAACGGAAGCCCAATAATACCTATTTGTCTCTTCTTATTTGACACCCCACGCTTTCTGAGTAGCTGTGTGGAAATTACATAATTATTCTTCTTCAAATTGGTTTAATAGAACAACCCGCATGGGAATAAATCGAATTTTGGAAAACCCTTTAAACCCACATTTTTCTTTTTTTTCCTGGAGGGCGCTGTTTACACCGAACGTTAGTTTTTCCCCTTGACATTTCCCCCCAGAATTTATTTATGTGATTATTCAAGGCAAAGGAGTTGTTGAATATGGCTATTCATGTGGTAGGTACCCAAGATATTCTGGAAAATTATTTATATTTTGAAGTTGGACACCTCTTGCTCTTCGTATGACTTTTTTTAAACAAAAAGCAAAATGTGAAATCGCCCAGTTTCCGGACACTTCACAATATTGAATGGCTGCTGCTCGCTATCCCTATGGCGGTAATCCTTACTTTTAGGACCCCGTTCCTCTATAGGAAGGGAAAGACTCACCGAAACAGTTGACTAAATGACACTCAAAATTGACATTCTGATACTTCTTGGCACATCTGAACAATGGGCAATGACACCTTCTTGACTTCTAAAGACTGCTTTAGCCTGCAAAAGTCACTTTGGTACTGGACAGACATCTGCAAAAGTCAGTTTTGAACAGAACTCGTAAAAAATAGAGGTGTCCTAAAAGTAAGGATTACCCCTATGGCTAGTGCCACTGCTAGTAGGACTTTTTTGGAAAGATTCCCATATCTGGCCATCAATAATGTTTTCCCTCAGTGACCTATCAGCCATCAGAAAGTATGTCAAATTTAGCAGGGAATTTATTGGGGTATTTACTGAGAAAACACTTAGAAATTTTCAGACCAGTCTCATTGTGCACAGGATGACAAGTGATGGCCAGATGTGGGAATCTTTCCAAAAAGAATATGCTTAGGCCCAAAAAAAAAAGTCTCCGGTTTCTGGTATGCGCGCGCGTCGCTGTAGCCATGCGCGTCGGCAAAATGAAAAAGTTTTTTTTTTTCAATACAAGATGATGTCTCAAAACCGCCAAACTTACTGGTTTGACTGGAATCCTGCTGCTGCACAATTTTAACGTGTTTTTAGAAGGGGGTTAAGATCGAGAATAAGCTTTATGTGGCCTCTCTGGACTCCCATATATTTGCACTAAGTTTAGTCGGGCACCATTTGCAGTCATCAGCCGACATTTGAAGCCAAAAAAAAAAAAAAAAACAGGTAAAAAAAAAAAAAAAGCCGCGTCGCCGCACCACTTTTGGGGCAAGCTCCATACCAGAAACCGGAGACTTTTTTTTTTTGGCCTTAGGGTCCTGCTTTTTGAAAAAAAGGAAGCAGGAGACCCTTCTTTTTTTTTTTCCTCCCCAATGGTCGCCCAACCGGGCTATTTTTCATCAAGATGGCTGCCATTTTTTTTTTTAAATGGCCGCCATTGGACTCAGCAAATTACATACCAGCTTTATATTGAAATGTGTTTATAGCTCCATGATGCAACAGATACAATTTAAGAGGCCAAACTAATGTCACTATTGAAAACTTTAACAAAAAATTGGTTTAAAAAAAAAAAAACCTAAGGAGGCAGCCTCCATAAAGGAAGCAGGCGGGGACGCTAGACATGTTTTTTTTTTTTATTTGGCCTAATTTGTTTCCCCCTCTCCACTTTGAAAACTTCTGTGAAGATTTAATTGGTGTTGCCGTTTCATACATTTACATTTTTTTTTTTTGCAACTGTAGGCGCATCCATCAGTGCGAATGAAAGGCGCTGAGGCAGACTGGACGCCCATACAATGCACAGACAGGGAGTGTAGCCACTCCTTGATGAAGGCTCCGCATCTGCACTGTCCATTCTGCTCCCAGGAAAGTCTCTTCACTGATGAGATTCTCCTCAAGGCACACTACAGGGTCAAGCACGTGGATAAAGGCATCAACTTTGGGGGTGAGTTTGCATTTGGGAACAAGACCAAGCTCTTGCATACTTGTGACTGGATCCCAAGAAATAAGTTTTAGGTTAAGGACAATGTTTTCACTTTCTGTTCATGATCATGAGTCATGCTACAAGATGACTTGTGGTCCGTGTTTGTGAAAAGGATTGTGAGTTGAATTAAGATAAGTTGAAGGTAGTGGACAGCAGGACACAAGGTAGTGGCATTTGTGGGAGTTTTATGAAATTGACAGATACCTGGGCTGGTTATTCTTAGCAGATATCAGTGTTCGATGAACTCAATTGTCAAGGCCATGCCCAAATGCCGACTGTGTCTTGGGAAAAGCTTTGCATCCGGCCTGCCTCAACAAGAGTCCTAACTCAGGTCAATAGCTTACTTGTGCCTGTTATAGCAAGAGAACCATATAAAAAGATCCATAGTTCATGTTTTGTCAAAGTGCATATAGCTGTCAGCTTTTGTCAAAATTGCCAAACCAATCCTCTCCTGTATCCCTCCCCAGGTCTTAAAATATTGCGGTGTTGTAGATCCTGCATCGTCCACGGCATCATTCACGGCCTACGTCCCCTGCTGGGATGGCGAGTGTGAAGATCTACTTTGCGCCCATGAAGAAGCAACGACCAACGAAGACAGGGATAAAGCAGCCAATGATCTTTTCGGTAGGCTCTATGAGAAATGAAGGCAGAGATGGACAGAGACTGTGGAATCGATGGATTTCACCCATTCCAGCTGTTGGGCATGGCAAACCATCAACAACTCACGGGTAGGTCCACAACCCCAACACAATGTCCAATTACTGCAAATTCCATCGCGTATCAGCTGTTGAGCAACTGTCGCTTCCCCAACGCGAACAAGAACTTTACTAGAGTCCCATCGGCGAGTCAAGGAGCTGTGCCATGCGCAGGGGTGTGATCCCAACCTTTCAGGCGACTTCACGGCACACAAACTCCAGTTGGCCATCCAACGGCTAGAGACCAGCAAGGCTCCAGGCTGTTTGCCACACACGCCCACAAGCTGCTCACGACATCAGCAGACGTCTCTAAGGTCGCCTGGGTAAAACCAGCTGGAGAGTCTGGTGGACCTCAGCAGAACCATCTACCTAGGCTACACCGCTTCATAAACGACCCTAAGGATGTGTGCGGTCAAGACCTCCCACGAAAGCAGTGGACGACCCTTCTGAGGACTGGAGTCGGATGCTATGGTACATCCATGAAAAGCTGGGGATTGGCAGACAGCACTTCCTGCGACTGCAGAGAACCAATCCAGACAGTAGACCACATCATCACCACCTGCTCAAAACACTGGCCGCCTGATCAATCTGGAGGATGACACACTGGCCTGGCTCACCTCGACAGAGCTGCAAGTCTAAGGACATACATGTACAACAGAAGAAGAAGTCCTAAATTAACAACGCAATCTCCAGGTGCGTCTTGCACGACATCACGCAGTACATGCGAACGCACACGCCAATCTCCATAAAAGGAGTTGTGTACATCTTACTCGCGAGCTAGACACTCCATTATTTAGCTATAGAGGGGTGTTTAAAAAACATGAAGTCAACTTGTTGAACAAAATCGGGGTTTTTTTACCAAAAAGTTTTGAATTCTTTTACCGAAAAAGTATTTATGAATGGGAATAAATATGTGCTTGGACGTCGGTATTAATCACTCTGTTTAAAAACTGGTTGGAGTCTGGGTGCTGATAATTACCCTCACCTTCGGCTCGGATTAAAACCGACCAAGCGCACGTTTATTCCTTTTAAATTGCATCAATAAAGCTGATCAATGTTTTCACATGTGGTTAAACTACCATGGTTCACTCAGAAAATGTTGTAAATTCCTGATGCTTGAATTCCTAAACTCATTGGACTTATTTATAGCTTTAACCATAACAGAACTCAACCCATCAAACTCCAACGACATGTTTTGTTGGAATCTGTCAGGATGGGTACAGTACCCCTAAACTGACAGTCTTTTACATTGGGTTGGCACACCTCCAGAATCAAAGTCAGAAATATGTGTGTGCTCAGTTTCCCATATGGTGTTGGAATTTGCCAGGATGGGTATGGTTCCTAGTAAATCATGCTAGGGATTTAGGGTCAAAAGACTCTGTGAAATAAATTTCGCAATCAAACATTTGACTCAAGTATCCATTCTTTTGAGAATGATTAGACACACCTTTTGGCTTAAAATGTTTGAAAATGCACTTATTTTTAGCCTTCACAGTTTCAGTGCTGCTTCAAGACAACTGAGTATGCTGTTGCTGTAATGTAATGGTCCCCTTGAATTTGCATGGAAAAAAAACCCATGAAATAATTGTAATCAGTTGAAATTTATGTACCTTGTGAGCAGGTATGGTAGTTCTACAAGGATTTGGGTGGATTATATCAAATGCCAACACTTCGTGCCTTTTATAATAATTAATTGTGAACCTAATTTTATCACTGTACGTTTGTGTCGTAAATTGAATCTTTTGGTTTAAGTCTCATTTTATCAACCTTAACGACTTCACTCCACCATTTTTACCCAGTATGTCAACCAGATCTTCACCACATACACCGACCCAGCACCCAACAGTACCAGCCTGGTAACACACCTCATAGTCCCCCAGTCACAGCAGCCATCGGAGACAGACACATCATCCCCGGGGCTTTGAGCAGACTGACGGGCAGCAGTACCAGTACGCCTGCATCAATGATCCGAGCCAGAGCACTGCCAATGGGGAAGGTAAGATGGTAAGAATATTAACCCTGACCCTCCAAGAATCCTTCAGCATCTACCCAGAGGTTAAGGTGGATAATGCCACCAGCAGTGAAGGATAATTAGAAAAAGCTGACCAAAAAGCCAAGGGGGAGGCATTTGATACAAGGAAGAACTCTTATCCCCCCCCCCCCCCACCCCCACAATTGATATATCATGAATCCATACGGAAGAAGGAAATGGGTAGACAACAGCATGTTTAAAACAGCTGTCTTCACTCCTGCACTTGTTTGGTCAATAAAATAAACAAAACAACAACCAAAATTTCAGCATTTTTTTAAGGGGGTTGGGGCGGGTGAGGGCCATATTGACAGTGGATTTTACAAATTGGAATTGGTGTTTTTAAATTGATGGATTTTAGAAAATTTAATGAGTCAGGGTGGCAGTGCATTTTGAAAGCGGACTTCAACAGTTAATTAAATATTGGAATTTGTCCTTCACCTTGCCCACCTAATGTTAGGAATATGGTTAAAAAGTGAGTGATTGCTTACACCCAGCTACAAGGAATTACATGTTCTTGACACGCACTGCATCACTGGGGTCTTTCTTGCCTGTATCCTGTTTTTACCGCTACATATTATCTGTCCCTTTCCAGTGCAACATATATGTCAACCTTTCCACTCCAAAAACTCCTCCCGTCATTTCCCCTCTTTGTGTAGCCCACACCTGGAGTGACCTTTTGATGAGCGACTTTCATTATTACAGGAATTATTATCCAGGATAATTACTTAACCTTTCCCTCTCGTAAACAGTTGTCCTTATTGAGATACCAGACGAGGGAAGCAAAGGGGATTTGGAGGACGAGACTTGCTACACAGAGCACAACTTGTCGCTGCTGCTGCAGGAGAAGGAAAGTCTGGAGAAGACTCTTGAGGAGGAGCAGACCACGTTGGCCCAGACAGAGCACAGGATGAAAGGCACTATAGAAAGGCTTCGTACAAAGGTGAGTGGGCATTCCATCTGGTCTTGGTTAAGAATGAGTTTGGATCTTGTTCCCTGAGTGCAACAGGTACCAAGGGCGTCAATCGCTTCTCAAAAGTGGGAGGGGGGACATACCTTGATCAGAACTAATGCAGGCACACTAATGCGACTGCGTTCTTTCAGTGGTCAGATTTCTGTTAGGATGCCAGCTGTCATGGCTGTGGGCGATCATGGTGTGCACTGTTGTTGTCATTGCTCTACATTTTCTACACGTTCTACGTTGTTCTATGCGCTGACGCTGCTTATGATAAATGCAGACAAACCGTTGCACACATTTTGTACACAAGCTCAGATGTGTCGTTTATCCTTGTGTAGAGGATTCGTGGTTTCACTCAAACTCTAGTTGCACTAAATAACTGGGTAACAACACATGTGCCTTCATAAGCATTCATGCTCCAACTGCACACATCATGAAGTGCATAAATGTCAGACTTTGGTGTGCGCTGTCATGGTTGTGATTGGTTACACATCATGGGGCAGAGCCTAATGGATTGGTCTATTAAAATTCCATCTGTAAACAAATAATTTCTCTGCCCATCCGTCTTGCCCTCCAGGTTGAGTATTTGTCCAACACAAACATGTCACTCAAGCAGCAGCTGTCCATGATTCACAAGTCCAGTTTGAAACATCTAACCAACAACAGCTAGAACCAGTCCATTTTGCAAGAGTTACTGCAACACATGTCTGAGGAGCACACCCAGCTGCTGCACCACCATCTAGCACAGCTACGGCTGTACACTCAGGCCTGCGCATTATCCAAATCAGCCCCCGAGGAATCTGCAGCTGAATCTACAGTCTTGGTACCAGACCTGGCTGACCAATCACAGGACATCTCACACATGGCCATGATGTCGTCCTCGGAGGGCACCCTTGGGAACATGGAGCAGACAGTCGTCATGACGATAACGTCTGAGGAGGATTCGGAGCCGCTCGGCAACATCGTGGATAACCCCGGAGATACTGTGGGACATGACTCCTTGACTTTGGATAAGGACGTTCACTTGTCACCAAATGACATTCTGTACCAACTGACAAGCGAGGGACTGTCACCAAGACATGCCACCTCTGAGTCGGGTCACGTTTATCAATCAGGTAGAACTCATTCACATCACAACACAGGCTGTGATGTCACGCAACAGGATTTTCACAAGAACAAAAGTTGAAAATTGGTTCTTTCCAACAGCATGCCAAATGAGGGACCACCATTAAAATGTGGGAGAACTAACAGCCTGAAAGCCACTTAACTAAATAAAACCGGACATATTTTGTAAACAGTGTACACTCAGTGTTGTCTTAGGGCTTAGTTGGGGGGGGGGGGACTTGAACTAATGAGTTGAGTCTTCATGGAAGTTTGTCTTACCTGAATGAAAATTTTACCAAAGCAACTGGCCTTGGTCTCTCCTATCTTTTCGAGTTCTCGATGGGCAATCCCGAATCCGCTCAGTGAATGGGCGTCGTTGTAGGCCCAAACAGATCCATGTAGGTCCTCAAATCTATTACTGAAACATAAACGATGCAATTATGATTAACATTGAAACATTTGGTCGTATGTATAAAAATTAGCATTTGCTTTTTTTTTACTACATATTTTTAAGCATAACTTTTATTTGCATGAATAAAAATGAGAGCAAATGCTTTCACTATTTGCTTCAAGCTAAAAGTATTTGCTTTTTTACTTTTTGGCTTTTGCTAGACTAGAAGTGTGGACTGGTTTCAAACTTGAAAAAAATATAAATTTCAATTGACCTCAAAATTAATAAAATTTTAAAATCTAAAACTCCAACTGTGCGACTTGAACCAGCAACCTTCAGAAGTTCAGATTTAGGGTCATCAGTCCGTATTACTTGATTAAGCACAACTTCACACTATTTTGTGGTTACAAAATTAACTGTAGAGTTTCAATTGACCTAAAAAGTAGTAAAATTTTGAAATCTAAAATTCCCAGCGTGGGAATGAACCTGCAACCTTTTGATTTAGAGTCAGCAGTCTGAACCACTGCACTAAGCATAATTTCATGCTTTTTAGTGGTTACGGAATTAACTATCAAGTTTCAATTTACCCAAAAGAAATAAAATTTTAAAATCTAAAATTTCCACCCTGGATATGAACCCACAACCTTAAAATTTAAAGTCAGCAGTCCGTACCATTGTACTTAGCATAATTCCACTGTTTTTATTGGTTAAAAAATTAACTATAAAGTTTCAATTTACCCAAAAAGAAATAAAATTTTAAAATCTTTAATTCCCTTCCTAGATTTGAACCCACAACCTTCAGATTTCGAGTCAGCAGTCCATACCATTGGACTTAGCATAATTTCACACTTTTTACAGGTTACGAAATTAACTATGAAGTTTTAATTTACCCAAAAAGTAATAAAATTTGAAAATCTAAAATTTCCACCCTGGATTTCAACCCACAACCTTCAGATTTTGAGTCAGCAGTCCGTACCATTGGACTAAGCATAATTTTACACTTTCTAAAGGTTACGAAATTAACTATAATGTTTTAATTTACCCAAAAAGTAATAAAATTTTAAAATCTAAAATTCCCACCCTGGATTTGAACCCACAACCTTCAGATTTCGAGTCAGCAATCCATACCATTGGACTTAGCATAATTTCACACTTTTTAGTGGTTACGAAATTAACTATCAAGTTTAAATTTACCCAAAAAGAAATAAAATTTTAAAATCTAAAATTCCCCCCCTGGAATTGAACCCGCAACCTTCAGATTTAGAGTCAGTAGTCCATACCATTGGACTAAGCATAATTTCACACTTGTTAAAGGTTACGAAATTAACTATAATGTTTTAATTTACCCAAAAAGTAATAAAATTTTAAAATCTAAAATTCCCACCCTGGATTTGAACCCACAACCTTCAGATTTAGAGTCAGTAGTCCATACCATTGGACTTAGCATAATTTCACACTTTGTAGTGGTTACGAAATTAACTATAATGTTTAAATTTACCCAAAAAGAAATAAATTTTAAAATCTAAAATTCCCCCCCTGGAATTGAACCCGCAACCTTCAGATTTCGAGTCGATAGTCCATACCATTGGACTAAGCCTAATTTCACACTTGTAAAGGGTTACGAAATTAACTATAATGTTTTAATTTACCCAAAAAGTAACAAAATTTTAAAATCTAAAATTCCCACCCTGGAATTGAACCCACAACCTTCAGATTTTGAGTCAGAAGTCCATCCCATTGGACTAAGTGTAATTTCACAATTTTTAAATGTTACGAAATTAACTATGAAGTTTCAATTTACCCAAAAATATATGAAATCTAAAATCTAAAATTTCCAACCTGGATTTGAACCCGCAAACTTCAGATTTAGAGTCAGCAGTCCATACCATTGGACTACGCATAATTTCACACTTTTTAGTGGTTACGAAATTAACTATGAAGTTTAAATTTACCCAAAAAGACATAAAATTTTAAAATCTAAAAATTTCCACCCTGGATTTGAACCCACAACCTTCAGATTTAGAGTCAGTAGTCCATACCATTGGACTAAGCATAATTTCACACTTTTTAGCGGTTACGAAATAAACTATATTGTTTCAATTTACCCAAAAAATAATAAAATTTTAAAATCTAAAATTCCCACCCTGGAATTGAACCCACAACCTTCAGATTTCAAGTCAGCAGTCCATACCATTGGACTAAGCATAATTTCACTCTTTTTAGTGGTTACGAAATTAACTATGAAGTTAAATTTACCCCAAAAGACATAAAATTTCAAAAACCAAAACTCCACCCCTGGATTTGAACCCACAACCTTCAGATTTCAAGTCAGCCGTCCGTACCATTGGACTAAGCATAATTTCACACTTTTTAGTGGTTACAAAATTAACTATCAAGTTTAAATTTACCCAAAAAGAACTAAATTTTAAAATCTAAAATTCCCCCCCCCCCCTGGAATTGAACCCGCAACCTTCAGATTTCAAGTCAGTAGTCCATACCATTGGACTAAGCCTAATTTCACACTTTTTAAAGGTTACGAAATTAACTATAATGTTTTAATTTACCCAAAAAAGTAATAAAATTTTAAAATCTAAAATTCCCAGCCTGGAATTGAACCCACAACCTTCAGATTTCGAGTCAGTAATCCATACCATTGGACTAAGTGTAATTTCACAATTTTTAAAGGTAACGAAATTAACTATAATGTTTTAATTTACCCAAAAAAGTAATACAATTTTAAAATCTAAAATTTCCACCCTGGAATTGAACCCACAACCTTCAGATTTCGAGTCAGTAGTCCATACCATTGGACTAAGTGTAATTTCACAATTTTTAAATGTCTAGAAGTGTGGACTGGTTTCAAACTTGAAAAAAAATATCAATTTCAATTGACCTCAAAATTAATAAAATTTTAAAATCTAAAACTCCAACTGTGCGACTTGAACCAGCAACCTTCAGAAGTTCACAATTTTTAAAGGTAACGAAATTAACTATAATGTTTTAATTTACCCAAAAAAGTAATACAATTTTAAAATCTAAAATTTCCACCCTGGAATTGAACCCACAACCTTCAGATTTCGAGTCAGTAGTCCATACCATTGGACTAAGTGTAATTTCACAATTTTTAAATGTTACGAAATTAACTATGAAGTTTCAATTTACCCAAAAATAAATAAAATCTAAAATTCCCACCCTGGATTTGAACCCACAACCTTCAGATTTAGAGTCAGTAGTCCATACCATTGGACTTAGCATAATTTCACACTTTGTAGTGGTTACGAAATTAACTATAATGTTTAAATTTACCCAAAAAGAAATACATTTTAAAATCTAAAATTCCCCCCCTGGAATTGAACCCGCAACCTTCAGATTTCGAGTCGATAGTCCATACCATTGGACTAAGCCTAATTTCACACTTGTAAAGGGTTACGAAATTAACTATAATGTTTTAATTTACCCAAAAAGTAACAAAATTTTAAAATCTAAAATTCCCACCCTGGAATTGAACCCACAACCTTCAGATTTTGAGTCAGAAGTCCATCCCATTGGACTAAGTGTAATTTCACAATTTTTAAATGTTACGAAATTAACTATGAAGTTTCAATTTACCCAAAAATATATGAAATCTAAAATCTCCAACCTGGATTTGAACCCGCAAACTTCAGATTTAGAGTCAGCAGTCCATACCATTGGACTACGCATAATTTCACACTTTTTAGTGGTTACGAAATTAACTATGAAGTTTAAATTTACCCAAAAAGACATAAAATTTTAAAATCTAAAAATTTCCACCCTGGATTTGAACCCACAACCTTCAGATTTAGAGTCAGTAGTCCATACCATTGGACTAAGCATAATTTCACACTTTTTAGCGGTTACGAAATAAACTATATTGTTTCAATTTACCCAAAAAATAATAAAATTTTAAAATCTAAAATTCCCACCCTGGAATTGAACCCACAACCTTCAGATTTCAAGTCAGCAGTCCATACCATTGGACTAAGCATAATTTCACTCTTTTTAGTGGTTACGAAATTAACTATGAAGTTAAATTTACCCCAAAAGACATAAAATTTCAAAAACCAAAACTCCACCCCTGGATTTGAACCCACAACCTTCAGATTTCAAGTCAGCCGTCCGTACCATTGGACTAAGCATAATTTCACACTTTTTAGTGGTTACAAAATTAACTATCAAGTTTAAATTTACCCAAAAAGAACTAAATTTTAAAATCTAAAATTCCCCCCCCCCCCTGGAATTGAACCCGCAACCTTCAGATTTCAAGTCAGTAGTCCATACCATTGGACTAAGCCTAATTTCACACTTTTTAAAGGTTACGAAATTAACTATAATGTTTTAATTTACCCAAAAAAGTAATAAAATTTTAAAATCTAAAATTCCCAGCCTGGAATTGAACCCACAACCTTCAGATTTCGAGTCAGTAATCCATACCATTGGACTAAGTGTAATTTCACAATTTTTAAAGGTAACGAAATTAACTATAATGTTTTAATTTACCCAAAAAAGTAATACAATTTTAAAATCTAAAATTTCCACCCTGGAATTGAACCCACAACCTTCAGATTTCGAGTCAGTAGTCCATACCATTGGACTAAGTGTAATTTCACAATTTTTAAATGTCTAGAAGTGTGGACTGGTTTCAAACTTGAAAAAAATATAAATTTCAATTGACCTCAAAATTAATAAAATTTTAAAATCTAAAACTCCAACTGTGCGACTTGAACCAGCAACCTTCAGAAGTTCACAATTTTTAAAGGTAACGAAATTAACTATAATGTTTTAATTT